CTTGTGTGTGTGTGTGTGTGTGTGTGTGTGTGTGTGTGTGTAAATTTTATAATTCTATATAATTTTTTTTATATGGTTTTAATTCTCTATTTTTGTTTAGGAAACGAAAATTTTTCGGGGAAATCATTTTTCGAAAATCATCATATTTTCACACTCACATTGTTAAAATTATTAGAATCTCTCTCCAAAAATAATCGAATTATTTAATATGCAAAATTTAATATATATAATAATGATCATGTGCTTTTAAATTTAAATTATAAAATATTTCGTATGAATTATGATATATCAACGAAAATTAACATTGATATAAATATTATATGGAAGTAAAAGACAGATATGGCCTATGTTTACTAAATTTCTATTTTGTAATTATTTTAATAGCACCCATAGAAGATATGTCAACTATATTTTTGAATATAGCATTTTAATAATAGTATTTTATCTGAATCTAATTAAATTGTATATGATATAAAAGATGATCGAGAAATTAGATATTCAGTGTTCGTCTATTAACTTAAATAGAATTTTTAATTCTAAAAATTCTTTATTTTTTTAGATTAATGAAAATTATTGTGCAAAATTCCTTAAGAGATTATAATTTTACGCTTGCAGTATTTTCCATTAGTGCCATCGAGTTCTATTGTCTTAGCATCTCTTTCGTCTTTATCTTCGCCGTTTTAAATTTCATTATATAACAAACATGTTCATGTTTCATCAAGTTAAATTCAGTTGAACTTTCCTTATTTTTAGCATTGCTATCTCTATATATCCTTAACACTTCTTATATCGCTTTTCACCTACTTTATAGCTAATATTTTGTTACCCCACATATGTGGAAAATAAAAATATCATTATAGTCATCAAAATATCATTTTCATTCTGCATATGTGTCTACAATAAGATTAAGAAGAGAAGTGCTAAGGATGTGATCTCGATGTATTTTTACGATTAATAAACAAAATTGATAGCTAATAGTCCGCTAAATTCAAGCAGAATATTGTAGTTGATTGCTCGATTTCGTCCACAGCTAGCAGATTGCAAACAGAATTAGTTATAATCGTTTAATTATAATCGTTATAATCGTTTTGGAAATGGAATATTAAACAATTATGGAATTTATCGTTTTGTACTCGTTTTATGTAATCAACTTACCATCTTATTTTCTTATTATTAAATTCTTTTATATTTTTGCCGACATTCTATCAAATGAAATTTATAACAGATACTTTGATATTAAAATTGATAGATTCTATTATTTAGATTAAAAATAAAGAAACTCAACTAAAAATCAACAAGATTTCAAATCCATATAAAAGACCAATAGAGAACATTAAATATGATAAATGATACGGGAAATACTATTCTGCTGCGTTTATCGATCCATTGAGCGATCTCCTGAGGTGTCATTGTCGTGAAATTATGTAACTTGGCCAGAGTCGGCCTACGTGGAAATGGCTTAGCCGGAGGGGTACTGTCGATGGTCGTAATGCTACCAACGGAATAATCTGGATCCTTATCTTCCTCTATTCTTACCGATGGAATATTGATCGTGCTCGGAAAACTCTGGAAGCGACGAAAAGTATGATCAATCCTATTATTTTATAATGAAATTTAATTTGAAATATTACAATCCCATTCTAAGCTCAGTGATTACGTTCGAAGTTCTTTTCTTCATTATTGTCTATGTGATTTTATTTAATATTCTGTAGTCGCATTTCGAAATCATTATAGATAAAATTTTTAAAGATATTCTTAAAATTATAAATATTAATAGGATATTCTTGGATTCTGTTTGTCTCTTGTAGTAATTCTCTTTGCAATATTTTCTTACATTATTTAAATTCGACATTTAGATATCGAGTAAGATAATTTTTATGCATTCCAAATTTCCAAATTTCAATATTTTTATT